ATTGACAAAGAGCTAAAGTAAATTAATGCCAGGCAATGTGGATTGACGGAAGAGGCGTCTTGTGAAGCAAGCCTGATTTCATTATTTCATGAGTTTAAAAGTCTGATTGAAAAATGAACCATGTAGCCACTGTGATGTATGTTACGTGTTTGATTTGGCACCACATGACAATAATTAGCCCTATCCGATATCTGCAAAGAATAAGCACAGGATAAATGGATTAGGACATGGCTAACGGAGAGAACTAAAACCCCAGTGACACTGAGCATGGGTCCTGCTAGTGGGGTCCTGCATGGGTCAGTGTTAGACCTGACCTGGAGCAGATGAGAGTTTTGCAGGGACTAGGGCGTGGGGCCTATTGAAGCGCGGGGCCCGGGGCATCCGCCCCACTTGCCCTGCCCTATATCCGCCGCTGGATCTGACACTATTCAATATTTCCATCGGTGCTCTGGCAGTAAATTCAAAGGGTGACAGAACAGATTAGTGGAGGGGTCAATAATGCTGAGGACAGGAAAGTCCTGCAAGAGTGATCTGGATTGCTCAGTAAACTGGACCCACTCAAACAAAATACTTTGCAATAAAGACAATAAATGTATAACATGGAATGCACACCGTACCATGCCTGTAGAATGAGTTTTTTGAGGGCATCAACAAGCACGTGGATAAGGGGGATCCAGTGGATATCATGTAATTAGATTTTCAGAAAACCTTTGACTAGGTCCCCCTTAAAGGCTCTTCAATAAAGTAAGTTGTCATGGGATAAGAGGGAAGGTCCTTTCATGGACTGAGAACTGGTTAAAAGACAGGAAACAAGGGGTAGGAATAAAGAGTTTTCAGACGGTAGAGAGGTAACTAACAGTATCCCACAGTGGGCTGTACTGGGACCAATCCTAGTCAACATAGTCATAACTGATCTGGAGAGAGGGGTAGTCTGAGGTGGCAAAATTTGCAGATGATACAAAACTGCTTAGATAAGAACAAAGCAGACTGAAGAACTTCAAAAGGAGTTCACAGAACTAGATGGCTGGGCAACAAAATGGGAAAGGAATTGTAATTTTGATAAGTGCAAAGTAATGAACATTGGAAACCATAATCCCAACTATATGTACAAAATGATGGGATCTAAATTAGCTATTAACACTCAAGCGCGAGATCTTGGAGTCATTGTGGACAGTTCTCTGAAAACATCCACTCAGTGTGCGGCAGCAGTGAAAAAAGCAAACAGAATGTTAGGAATCTTTTAAAAAAGGGATAGAGAATAAGACAGAGAATATTTTACTGCTTGTATATAACATCATGGTACGCCCACATCTTGAATACTGCGTACAGATGGGGTCTCCTCATCTCATAAAAGATATACTGGCATTAGAAAAGGTTCAGAAAAGGGCAACAAAAATGATGAGGGTTTGGAATGGGTCCAATATGAAGAGAGATTAAAAAGACTCGGACATTTAAGCTTAGAAAAGAGGAGACTAAGGGGGGATATGATCACGGTCTATAAATCATGACTGGTGTGGGAAAAGTTATTTACTTATTCCCACACTATAAGAACCAGGGGGTCACTGAATGAAATTAATAGGCAGCAGGATTAAAACAAACAAATGGCATGTTCTTCACATAATGCACAGTCAATCTATGGAACTCCTTGCCAGAGGATGTTATGAAGGCCAGGACTTTAAAAGGGTTTAAAAAACAGCTAGATAAATTCATGGAGGATAGGTACATCAATGGCTATTAGCTAGGAGGGGTAGGAATGGTGTTTTTAGCCTCTGTCAGAGGCTGGAAATCGATGACGGAGGAGGGATCACTTGATGGTTCCGTGTCCTGTCCATTCTCTCTGGGGCACCTGGCTTGCCACTGTGGAAGAGAGGACACTGGGCTGGATGGACCTTTGGCCTGCCCCAGTGCGGCCGCTCTCCTGTTCTTTTTGGAAAGCAGTGACTTGGATTTAGAGGTGATAGCGGACACAAACGCAACATGAGCTCCCTGTGAGACGCTGTGGCTCAAGCGGCCAGTGCTCTCCCGGGGTGATGTGTCAGTGAGCAGAAGGGAGGTGATTTTACCTCTGCACATAGCACTGGTGTGACTGATGCTAGAACAGATACTGAAAAACTGGAGAGGTGCAGACCTGAGCCCCCCAGAATGGTTCAAAAACCGGAGAAAATTCTTTTGAATAAGAGACATAAGGAGCTCTGTCCGCTGGGCGTCCCAGCAGACGACAGTCGGCTTGTCTGCGGCAGAGCAGTATCTTCACAGGGAGAACACAACGCATGCTAAAGGGCTCCGGAGGCTTCTCGCAGACAAAGGAGTAAGTAAGAGCCAGTGGCTGGAAGTGGAAACGGGACGCATTCAAATTCAAAATAAGGCGCCATGTTTTTCAACTGCCCGTGTTTCTTAAACTGTGTTCCATGGCACACCGGTGTGCCGCAGAGAACGGAATTCAAAATGGCTGCCCTTAAAGGGGCAAGTGACCTTTTTTTGCTCAATAACTTTCCCCCCGATCCTTTTTCCCCGACGTTTTTTATCTTGGCTCAACAAAAAATCCTTGGTGTTCTTCATACAAAAATTATTGTTTGTGTTCCTTGGACTGAAAACATTTAAGAAACACTGCATTAACCAGTGGGCCAAACAGCCAATGGAAGCAGTGCGCCTCTATCTCTTGCTGGAAGAGCAGTGTCTTTCTAGGCCATCTGCTTTAGCCAGACGCAAGCTATGCAGCTCCCCAGAGGTAGCTGGCTAGAATCCTCTACCCTGTGCTACACCGAGGTCAGATTTAACCATGTTGAAGTCCCCTCTGACTCTGAACTCTATGACTCTCTGAAGACTGGGGCATCCCAGGCACAGACATGGGCCCGGCCCCGGCCGAGATCAGGCCCCGTTGAGCCGGGCGATGCCCAGGGACAGACACAGGCCCGGCCATGGCCGAGATCAGGCCCCGTTGAGCCGGGCGATGCCCAGGGACAGACACAGGCCCGGCCATGGCCGAGATCAGGCCCCGTTGAGCCGGGCGATGCCCAGGGACAGACACAGGCCCGGCCATGGCCGAGATCAGGCCCCGTTGAGCCGGGCGATGCCCAGGGACAGACACAGGCCCGGCCATGGCCGAGATCAGGCCCCGTTGAGCCGGGCGATGCCCAGGGACAGACACAGGCCCGGCCATGGCCGAGATCAGGCCCCGTTGAGCCGGGCGATGCCCAGGGACAGACACAGGCCCGGCCATGGCCGAGATCAGGCCCCGTTGAGCCGGGCGATGCCCAGGGACAGACACAGGCCCGGCCATGGCCGAGATCAGGCCCCGTTGAGCCGGGCGATGCCCAGGGACAGACACAGGCCCGGCCATGGCCGAGATCAGGCCCCGTTGAGCCGGGCGATGCCCTGGCACAGACACAGGCCCGGCCCTGGCTGAGATCAGGCCCCGTTGAGCCAGGCAATGCCCAGGGACAGACACAGGCCCGGCCATGGGTGAGATCAGGCCCCGTTGAGCCGGGCGATGCCCAGGCACAGACACAGGCCTGGCCATGGCTGAGATCAGGCCCCGTTGATCCAGGCAATGCCCAGGGACAGACACAGGCCCGGCCATGGGTGAGATCAGGCCCCGTTGAGCCGGGCGATGCCCAGGGACAGACACAGGCCCGGCCCCGGCCGAGATCAGGCCCCGTTGAGCCGGGCGATGCCCAGGGACAGACACAGGCCCGGCCCCGGCCGAGATCAGGCCCCGTTGAGCCGGGCGATGCCCAGGGACAGACACAGGCCCGGCCCCGGCCGAGATCAGGCCCCGTTGAGCCGGGCGATGCCCAGGGACACCGAGATCAGGCCCCGTTGAGCAGGGCCCTGCCCTGGCGCAGACACAGGCCCGGCTCTGACCCATTCCCATTTTAAGCGCGGAGGCCGACCCTGGGACAGGCACTGAGCAAGCAGCTGGGCTCCGCAGGGGCGCGAACGCACAACTCACCATGAGGTACATGGCCCCCGCGGGCCGGACGGGCTGGAGCCCACAGACAGCAGACAGGGCAGCATAGCAAAGGTCAGCGTTGGACTGCAAGGCAGAGAGAAAGGGGGTCAGAGCTGGGGCCATTCCAGGAAGCAGCTCAGCAGGCTGCAGACAGGTTCTTGGCCAGAGCCCAGGACAGGCTCCCCTGTAAGGACAAGGGCAGCGAACGCAAACAGGACAGATGTGAATGGCCTGCAGTGCGGCCGAGGCCACTGTGCTGAGCTCAGCAAATCAGTGTGGACCCCCCCCAAGCTCTCTTCCTTCAGCCCCTCCTGGCTGGCAGCACTGACACTGGCTTGTCCTGCACCCCTGGCAGCACCTTCTGCCGGGCAAGGCCAGGACTAGTGACCAGGAGCTCCCCCAAACCAGGGCTCCCGCCCTCTCCCTCCCACCAGGAGAGTGGCCATGGGAAGAGGGGGCCCAGCCAGACGCCATGTGATGGTTCCCGCTCCCTCTGCCTGCCTGGGGGGACGTACCTTGAGGAAGCTGAGGGTGTTGTGATAAAACTCTGGGGGCGTTCGGCGCATGATGTGTTCTAGTGCCCCCTGGACAATTGTGCAGGGGCCCAGGATCCTTTGGCTCAGCCTTACAAGGCCGTCCCGGATCTGAAACACAGAGGACACTGAAGACGGCGCACGCCGGGAGGAGAGGAAAATGCTCCCACCCTGATGCCAGCCAACGCCCACTCTCGGCCAAGGGTGTTTTCAAACTTGGCAACATGTTCCAGCACCAGCCCTGCTTTCCGGGTCTGTGTCACAGCGTCTGTCTAGGCAGGGACTAGCTCTGGCCCTGTGTTTGAGGGCTAGAGCTGGTCCCTGATCCTGAGCTAGGATCATAAAGGGGCCAGGAAGCAGCCAGAGCTCACTACTGGGGTCCCTGTTCCCAGATGGCATCTGGCAGGCTAGAGCAGCTCCTGGGCGTCTCTCAATAGTCTGGGGTACACGGCAGCCCAGAACGCACTGTCCTTGAAGAGCTTCCCACCAACCCAACTCCAAGGGGCTGCAACTGGTCTGAACAAGCCCCCGCCAGAGCCTTTCCCAGCGCCATTGGATACGCCACCACAGCCAGCTGGGGACAACGTTGGCCCTACCTCTGCTGTCCTTCATGTGCCCCAGATTTGGGGAAAGCACCGGGTGGGCATCACAAGCCAATGAACAGTAACTTACAAGCCACCGCTCATACTGCACCACTTGTTACCCTTCCTGGTCCCTCCAAAAAGGAGAAGCTGTGCTAGGGCGCACCGGGACTACACCAGGGCAGCCCGACTTTGGTAGGGGAACCGGGCTGCCTCCGAGGGCAGGTCTATGCTACGTGATAAATTCGATTTAAGGGATGTAACTCCAGCTATGAGAATTGTGTTACCGGAGCTGTTGTACCTTAAATCAAATTTCTGTGGTGGACCCACTACAGGAGGGCAAGGGGAAAAACTTTCCCATCGACCTCCTATCAGATTGCCGGAGATGCCATCAGAGTTTGATTTAGCAGGTCCTTACTAGACTTGCTAAATCAAACCCCAGAAGATGGATCGCCAAAGCATCGCTCTTCTCATGACAAGGCCTGAGAGAGGGAAGCCAAACGCTGCACCTCCCACGTGGCAGGCAAGAGAAGGCAGCATAAGTGCAGGGAGCAGCAGGCAAAGGCAGGAGGGAGGGAAGGGAGGGCAGGGGGGCACATGCGAGCAGGTGGAAGGGGCTTGTGCCTGAGCCTGGTGCCAGGCAGTGGTGTGCGCCCATGCTGGGAAGGTGCCTGCTGCCTGCACATGGTTGGTGTGTGGCACTAGTGTCAGCAGTGAGCCATTCACCTCGTTCCCAAAGATGTCTCTCCGATCATGGACAAGGATCCAGCCCATCCTCCAGCCTGGCACCAGCCATCGCTTGGCCAGGCCTCCGCAGGACAGGATCGGCACGTTGGTGCTGAGCGCTGCGATGGGCTTGTACTTGCCCTCTGCAAACACCTGGGAGAGGCGATGCATTAGTGCGCCTGACGGAAGCGGGGCAGCCCGGGGGCGGGGCTGACTCCAGGACTCAGTGGCAGGGAGGCCAGAGCAGATGGTAGCCTGTGAGGTGCAGTGCAAAGAGCAGCCTCTGCACAGCTGGTCCCAAATAAGGGCGGGGCCCCGCCCCTGGAGGGAGATGCAAGCTCAGCAAGGCACGTAGGAGCCAAGTGCTGGAGCCAAGGGCTGCACATCTGGCACCAGGCTGGTCTCCAGGGAAGCAGGACGAAGGAGTCTGGCTCTTGACTGGGCTAGTGACTCCTCCAGCATATGGCGAGGAGCCAGACCAGAGCCAGGCGCCAGGTGCACTGGGCCGGGCATGGCAGGGATAGGCACTCACCATGTCTCCATAGATCTCGTCAGCTAGGATGGGGACACACTGTCTCGAGGCCACTGGGGGAGAGAAGCAAACACTGAAACTGGCTGCCCTGCTGGGTGCAGACTCACCCTCGCCCCGCGAGGCCAGGCCTGGGCTCTCCCCAGCCCTAAGCAACAGGCCCCAGGCCAGCCACCGAGTGTCCCCTCGTGCACCTTCCTCGGGATCGGCAAAGCTTTAGCCAATCCATCGTCCGGAGCAGCCCTTCCCGAGGCCAGGCCTGCAGGGCCTCTGCCTGCCCTAGGCCGCTCCGACCGCAGGCCGGGGCACACACCTCTGTCCGCTAGGCGGCACGTCCAGGGCGGATTCTTAGCCGTGGATCAGGAGTGCAAGGGAAGGCCAGGCCCGGGGAGTGCAAGGGAAGGCCAGGCCAGGCCAGGGAGTGCAAGGGAAGGCCAGGCCAGGCCAGGGAGTGCAAGGGAAGGCCAGGCCAGGCCCAGGGAGTGCAAGGGAAGGCCAGGCCAGGCCCAGGGGAGTGCAAGGGAAGGCCAGGGGCGGGGAAGGACAGGGCAAGGTCAGGGAAGTCCACCCAGTGGGTTAGGGACAGAACCAGGGACAGAGCCCCGGTGCTTTCATGCTATTCATGCTGACTCCGTGCAGGGTTGTCGGGCGAGCCCTGGGAACGGGGTAAGTCACACGGGGAGGATTGAACCCTCCAGACCTGCTATTGTTTCTGCAGCAGCATCAACATAGCATATAGTAGGGCAGGTTCCTTGCCACAGAGCTCCCCATAACAAGACTAAACAGGGAAGCCGAGGAGAGGGCAAGGCATCAAAGCACCAGGCTCCGGGCTCAGAGACGCACCAGCCAGGATCTTCTGGAGATGGCTCTTGCTGAACACGGAGCCGCAGGGGTTCGAGGGGTTGTTCACGATGAGACAGGCCGTCTTCTCATCCACCAGCGACTCCAAGTGCTTCAGGTCGATCTCCCAGGCTCTCTCGGGCTAGTGGGGAGAGGGGAGCCATTATGAAGACTCAGGTGTGGAGTGGGGCCGGAGGAGCTGGCTGTGGGCAGGGCACGGGCATGGTGAGGACATCCAGCAAGCTGGACAAAGAGCAAGGAGCTGGGCCCAGGCTGAGGACGTAGGAGCCCAGGCCTGGGGGGCTGGAGGGTCCAGCCAGGCCCAGGATGTGGGGCAGGACTGTGGCCGGGCACAGACCACATGGACAAGGCTGTGCCCTGCACCTAACGAAAGGCACTGGCTTTCTGCCCACCCTGTGAGGAGCCCGCCAGGAGAAGGGCGGGGCTGGTGGGGTTCGGCACGTGGCACCTTCCTCCATTTCCTCATGAGGAGGGCTCAGAGATGGCTGGGAACGCTCTGGAGGGGCTGTGGCACCTACTCCTCCCATTGCCTTACCAAGAGGTTGTAGAATTTGACCTCAATCCCCAAGGAGAGCGCCAGGGTCTTGTAGAGAGAGAAGCCAGGTCGTGGCACCAGGATGTTCTGCCCTGGGTTAGCCAGCACAGCTAGGACCAGTTCAATAGCCTGGCTGCAGCCGCTCGTCAGGATAACGTCCTGCAGACAGCAAAGGAGACATGTCCTGAGGCTGTGCCGAGCCCTTCCAGACCTTGGAGTCTCTGGCATTGAACTGGGAGATGGGCATTGGCCCGGGGCTGCCAGACGCTGCCAGGACTGGAAGCGAAGCATTCGGAGCATAACCCTGGTGACTGGGGAGCTCAAAGCCCCAGGACTGGGGCTGGGGGAGTGACAGGCAGGCCCCAGGGCTGGGGCTGAAGCCAGAGCAGGGCTCTGTGGAAAGGCATGTCCAGCCAGTTTGCTCTCTGCTGGGCTAGAGACAAGGCCCATGGCCCCCCGGCTGCCTGTGTGGTTTGTTGCTAACGCCACGGAGCCCGGTCATTCTCCAGCACCATTACCTGAGCTTCCAGAGGTGCTTCTGGGCAGCTGTAATGCGCAGCCACCACCTGCCGGCAAGACTGGTACCCTGGGAGAGAGGGGTGGAAATGCGGGAGGTGGGTTCACCTCGTTTCCCCCGCAGGCCTGGCGCGGAGCCCCGCAGAGCCCAGGGAGACGAGAGCAATGACGCCCTGGGCGAGAGGGAACGGGCCAAAAGACAGCCCTGCCACCTGCACCTTGCTCCATTGCTGAACCAGCTGCCTCGGCCCTGGGACAGTGACATCCAGGCCCCACAGCAGGCTGGGGAGGTGCGGGGCCTACAGCCCACAGCCTGCTCCAAAGCCAAGCCCCCTGCCCCTGGACCAGTGTCCCATACCCAGCCCCCACAGCCCAAGTTAACTGAGTCTGCAGCCTCCGTGGCCAAGCCAAGGCGGCTTGGCAAGTGCAGTGCTTGCATCCCTACCCCAAGAGCAGCCCGGGGACGGCACACAGGGACGAACGTGGCCTCTTATGGGCCTTGCATGATTGCCGGAAGCTCCGCCCAGAGGAGACGGGGCGCTACCCACTGGCGAGTGACAAGCTGTGGAGGGCACGAGGCGGAAGCGCCCTGCACGCACTGGGAGGAGTCTGAGGAGTGTCTGGCCCAGCCTCCTCGCAGCGCTAGGGCCGTCGGGACAAGCCAGCACAGCTCCTCCCAGAGCTGGTCAGGCCTCCGCCTCGTCGCATGGGGTGCCCAGTACATGCTAGATGCCCTGGCTCAGCCCCATGCCCCGTGCCCAAGCCGGGCTAGGACATGCCCTGCGGAGAGCAGCGCTGGGCCTTACCGACAGAGGGGGCGTAGCCGTTGTAGCGCCCCGAGTCCAGGGCCTCCTTCACAGCCTGGGTGACCTCGTCATCCGTGGGCAGGTTTCCAAATACCGTCGGGTCACCTGTCAGGGACGGACAAACAGCAAACCCTTGTTGCTCTCGTCCGTTAACGAGAGCTGTGCACAGCACACGCTGCTCAGCTTGGGCCCCTCAGGCCCTCCCCGTTCCCCGGGCAGCCTCACCCAGGGACAAGGAGATCATGGGCTTGTTGGGGTTGGGCTCCACTTTCATAGAGTCCACGATGGCGCGGATGGGATTGAAAGTCTTCTTGGACATCTCCGAGGCCCGGACTGCCCATCTAGGCTTCCGGCCTTTCGCCTTCCCCAGGAAGAGGCTGGCCCCGGTTTTGTGCACGTGGACGTCGCCGCTGCCGTTCGTTTGGATCAGGTACGAGTCCATCCTGAGACCTGCCCAAGAAAAGGCGCTCCCCAGAGTCAGCTGCCGCTGGGCCGCCCTTGTGATGAGCCAGCCGGCTGCTCTGCCCCAGACACACAGGGTCCAAACGGGCGGCCTTTGATAGTCACTGGGATCGCTAGACCCCGTCCCCAGGTCGGCCGGTGCTGAGAGGCAGGCAGGAAGGGAAAGGGAGGCAGAGCAGGGAGGGAGGGCCAGGAAAGACGCCACAGTGAAGGCCAGCCCACACCCAGACCCTGCAGCAGGAGAATAGGGAGGAAGATG